CTTTGCCAATCCATCTCACTGGGGGTCTTCCTCTTTTTCTCTGACCCTCCACTTTATCAAAATATTAATAGTGGTGGCTGTGTGCCGTGGAGTTGGTTCCGACTCACAGTGACCCTGTACAGGGTTTCCAAGGCTGTAAATCTTTACAGGAGTAGAGTGCCTCATCTTTCTCCCACGGAACAGCTGGTAGCTTTGAACTACTGACCTTGTGGTTCGCAACCCAATTTGTAACCACTACGCTATCAGAGCTCCTTAAAATATTAATAGTAGTAGTAGTTAAAAGTCCTCAGAAAGCTGAATTCAACAGATTTGAAATGGAATTCATCACCACATCTCAAAGTTGCTCTTTATCCTCTGTCCCAAATCTCTGTAAATGGTTCCACTACCTACCCAGCCCCATCCTTGTTTTCTGATCAGCAACCCCTCCTGTTCTAACATGTTCGCTCGCCTGACTTAACCTTAACGTAACATTGCTACGATCCACGAGTGTTTACTATGTCCAGACTTTACACATTACTTTTTCAGTCCATGCGACAATGACAGCACCAATGGGCTAATAGCAGCAATTATGAGGTTGGCACAGGACCGGGCAATGTTTCATTCTGTTGTGCATAGGGTTGCCATGAGTCAGTACAACAATGACAATTCTGTGAATTGGTGGTGGTGGTTATGTGCCATGGAGTTGGTTCCGACTCATAGCGATCTTGTATAGGGTTTCCGAGGCAGCAAATCTTTAGGGGAGCAGAAAGCCTCATCTTTCTCCATGGAATAGCTGGTAGTTTTGAACTGCTGACCCTGAGGTTAGCAGCCTGGCTGGTAACCACTACACTACTAGAGTGACTTAATTCTGAATTTTGTAGATGCAGAAAGTAAGGCATAGGAAGATTCAGTAACGCATCCAAGATTACAGAACTGGAAACGCTGAGATACAAGCTTCAATCTCTATCTTTATACTCATACACAGAGCCATGTGTCACACTACTTCCATTGTAAGAGTTATGTTCGACTGTTTGCCATCTCCTTGCTAGTCAGTGTGCTATTTGAAACCCTGACCCTTGATTTGTTTACAGCCGCACGGCACCCCCACCCCCCCACCCCCCCACCCCCCACTTAGAACAGTGCTTGGCAAATAGTACAAGTTTAGATCATTCCATGGAGACAAGACAAAGTATAGATAAATGTGAGCAATAGAATCGTTATCAGTGTACACTCAATTATGGTCAGGAGTGGAGGTTTGTTAGTGGAGAGAGTTTTGGCTTTTTATTTCAGGATACCAAGTAGAAGATTGGAATCAGAGATACGCAGAGGCTTAGTTTAAGAAGACATTAATATTCACTGATTCATCCGTTACTGTAGGGCACATACTAAATGATTCTTTTAAACAGAGGAAATGTGACCAAAAATAAACTTTCATGAAGAGAGTTCACAGACTTTGGCATGCAGTCACTACCAATTTTCTAAAGTGTTTTTGTTTATTTTTAAAGAGGTCACCTACACTGTGTTAAAGGGCCCAATTTCAGGGTCATGCTTACTAGCTTCAGACCCAGTATCACACTAGATCTGAGAATTATAATTTAAATTAGGAGAACAAATAAAAATGTAAGCTCAAGCAGAGTTCCAATTTATCCTGAGGACAATTTAAGTGTGTAGTCAGTTCATTTTCAGCACCACCTACGGTGCACCGGGTACTCTGAATTACTGTATCACAATAAAAAGCAGGTTTCTGCTTCCTTCTTTTTTTAACAGTAACAAGAAAAATACTTACTGTGCATACCTCCGGCAGCCCCAAGCCACGGAAATGTAAGCTTAATGCCTAAATCTGTCCCTTCCTATTTCATGTCCCTTTGCTCAGGCCTGCCTTCCTTTTTCCCCAGGTGATTTCCTTAATTTTCCTGACCCCATCTGCAAAATTCCATCCTGTGCCACATTAAAGGATCTCTCCAAGGCACCTGGGCTCAGCAAAACAATATATTTTTTTTTTTGTCCCACTGGGTAGTAAAAACAGTGCCAAGCCAGGCACTGAGTTTCCTCTGATTGAGCCAGCAAGGAGTCAGGCCAGTGCTGTTTATGTGCACACCATAGCTCTTCCCCCAGCTCCTGGGATCAGAACCAGAACTCCAAAGCATCCTTGGCGTTTTCCCTTAGATGGAACTTCATGAAGAATGATTATGATTTATAATCCACAATAAATTACAGTTTGTGAATTCTACGTACAATATATTTTCTCAGAAAGCAAAGATAGAAGAAATTGGTCTAAAAGGAGATGTAAAATAATAGCAATGAAAATAAATGTTCTAACTGAATGGCCCCAAGCACTGTCAAAAGAAGAAAGAACAGTGTAATCTATTTCTGCAATAACGGACATATTATAGTAGGATCATTTTCAGTCCATTTCCCCATCCTGCTGGGCAGGAGTTGGCTCAGATAAGGAAAAAGAGCCAAACACACTGGAAAAAAACAACCCACCAATTATTTTTGATGCCTGGTAATCAGCTTGCGCCAGAGGATAAGGCTTTTCTGGCTTTCAAATATGCTTTTTTCCCTCTCTCTCTTTCCATGTGTTTGTCCACCTCCCTTGAAGCTGCGGGGTGGGGAGGTCTAAAAATAGTTAATGAATCACGGCAAATAATATCGCACAACAGTTACATAAACAACCAGCTCGGGCGTCCGGGCCAAGGGTAGGAACCGAAGATATCGAGGTCAGAGTTGTCACACAGAATAGGGTCCCCCGGAGCCGGCCTTAGGGAGGCGCGGCCGGGAAGGAGGCCTAGGCCTGCGGGCTGGGAGCATCAGCGGCCCACGGGAGGGAGCAGACGCCCCTGGCCGGGCGCGGGCACGGGCGGTGGCTCGAGCAGGGCGGGAGAGCTCCGTGCTCCTTCCCCATGGCTGGGAGCGGGTTGTGGCGGGGGCGGCGCTGACAGGCCCAGAGTGGGGCGGGCGGGCCTGGGGCCGTAGGGAAGATGAGCGCCCTCCTAGAGCACAAGGAACAGCAGGAGAGGCTGCGAGAGGCCGCGGCCTTAGGGGACATTCGGGAGGTACAGAAACTGGTGGAGAGCGGGGTGGATGTGAACTCCCAAAATGAGGTCAACGGCTGGTAAGTGGGGAGCGGGGGAGGCCTAGGGTCAGAGCAGCCGGCCCGGGGCGGGGGGGCTGTCGGCCACTGACGCCGGCCTAAGGCGAAACCCGGCACCTTGGGCTTCTGAGATTGCGCCCCCTGGAAGCCATCCCTGGGCCCCCCTGCCCGGTGTAGCCTGGAGTTTGTCCTGCCCACGTGGTCCACCGGGAGAGACTGGCTCCTGAGCTAATTTGGCTAGAACGATGCTGCAGAATATTATTCTAAGCGACTATCTAGTACACGGAGTCCTGGTGTGGTGCTGTGGGTTAATGCGCCAGACTGCAAAGCCGTTTGAACTGCAAGGTCGGTAGTTCAAGCTCACCAGCTGCTCCTCGGAAACCCTCTACAGGGTCGCTATGGGTCGGAACCGACTCGACAGCGCTTAACAACAACAACAATCTAGTACACACTGAAGCTCCTCCTAGTACAAGTGTTTGTTTTGTCGTAGGTGCTTCTGAAGAAAACATCCGTGCAGAGCTAAAAGCATAAGCAACTATGAATCCTATAAGCTAACACGATTTCTTTTCCCAAGACCAGAAATGAAATCACTTGCTTCTCTATTGTCACTTTGTAGCAATGATTTGAAGCTGGTGTGGCGCTGTAGGATAAGTGCTGGACTGCCAACCTCAAGGTTGATGGTTCAAACCCACCAGCTACTCCAATGCAGGGTCTCTTATGAGTCAGAATTGACTCGAAGGCACTTAACTTAAAAGCATCAGCAAACAGTTGCCTGTTGAACAAAGACTTTTTCATTTATTCTGTAAAATACTTAGCTTTGTTTTCTTACGTAATTTCATATATAGAATTGATCGAAGGTGTCAATTGTCTGCCTGCAGATTAAGCCCGTCCTAAATAAATCGACCTGGTGGGAGTCCTGGTGTGGCTCTGTGGGTTAATGCGCCAGATTGCAAAGCCGTTTGAACTGCAAGGTTGGCGGTTCAAGCTCACCAGTTCAAGCTCACCAGTTCAAGCTCACCAGCTGCTCCGTGGAAACTCTATACAGGGTTGCTATGGGTCGGAATCCACTCGATGGGACTTAACAACAGCAACAATTAAATAGGGCATCTTGACAAGATGATTAACTCTTTAAGGTGCTGAATGTGGTATTCTTTTGTCCCCATTGCATTAAAAAATTAAATTGTATTTTATCCAGGCAATGCTTAAACAGTTTTTTTGTTAGGATCGAGCTGAAATGTGTTTGCAAACGTCTTAGTTTGAAAGTTCTAGAATCATCCATTTAGAAACATCGGCAATGGGTTCAACTGTAGAGGATCACTTTCGTAGGTCACCCAACTAATATGATAGTCAAAACCAAAACTGAGGCTCCCTGATTTCTTCACAGATTTAAAGAAAACAGTCTGAGTGGCTGTTCAGAAAGCTGGGAAACAGTGGTCCCGGACTTGTATTGACTTAATGTGCAAACAAGCTTGCTGTTCTGAGCTGGGTGATTGATCTGAGTGAGCTGTAAATCACAGTTTGGTCACTAGGAGGCAGGGTTGCGTGGAGGAACGAGCCTGGGTCTTGGCACTACCTTCTCCATTCCTTCCAGGCTGCACCACCTTGCCAGAATTGCTTTATTTTCCATTTCTGTCAGAAGAGTATATATGAACATTTATGGAGCGAAAGTGTAATATTAATAGCCAACATTTACTAAGCGTGCTCAGGCACAGTTGTGTTTCACATGTGTTATCTGTAACAACTTAGGGACCTAGCTATTGTCAGTCTCTCCACTTTTGCAAATGAGGAAATTGAGAGCCAGAAAGCTTAAGTAATTTTCCCAATGCCATAGAACTAACAGTAACGAGAGGACCTGGAACACAAACCTGGCACCTGGCTCCAGACACTCCAGACCTTACCCAACACACAATGTACATTGAATCTGAAGGAACTTGTAGAGTCTTCTAATAGATTTAATTGGAGAAGGTGTCGAATTCGCATCGCAAACTCAAGTTTATTATTGAATTTCTAGTCTCATCTGCTCATCATCCCAAACCTGTGCCTCAGAGTCTCCCTATCTCATCTGAAGACAGTGTCTTTCTTTTAGGTACTCAGTCCTGGCACCTTGGAGTGAGATGGGGGATTCATTAGAGGGCTTTAAGCAGAGCAAAATATTCTGACAATGTTTTAAGTCCCTCTGGTTCCTGTGTTGGGAAAAGACTATAGGGTGTAAAGTTAGGGAGAAGCTAGTCAGAATATTTTGCTCTGCTTAAAGCTCTCTAATGAATTCCCCATCTCACTCCAAGGAAAGGCCCACAATTCCCACATCCTGACTCCCTGCCCTCTCTCCTTACTCTGTGGCCCCATCTTTTGGGATCTGCCCCCTTGCTCACTTCTTTCTGCCCCACTGGCTTCTTGCTATTCTTGGATTACCAAGCATACTTCTGAACCAAAGCCTTTGTATTCTCTGTCTCGGTCTGAAATGCCCTTTGCCCTAGATACCTGATGGGTTGGTTTGCTCTCCCACCTCCTTCAGGCTTAGTTGTCATCTTCTTGGTGAGGCCTTACCTTGATCCTCAGTTTAAAATCATACCATGCCCCTCTCAGACCACTCACGTTCCCAGTTATACACACTTCCTCACCACTCAGCATGTTGTTGTTAGGTACCATCAAGTTGGTACTGACTCATAGCGACCTTATGCACAGCAGAACAAAACACTGCCTGATCCTGGGTCAACCTCACTACTATTGCCGTGCTTGAGTCCATTGATGCTGCCACTTGGCCAGTCCATCTCATTGGGGGTCTTCCTCTTTTTCTCTGACCCTCCACCTTACCAAACATGATATCCTTCTCCAGCGACTGCTTCCTCCTGACAATATGTCCAAAGTATGAGAAATGAACTTTGGCCATCTTGGCCTCCAAGGAGCACTCAGGCTGCACTTCTTCCAAAATGGATCTATTGGTTCTTTTGGCAGCCCATAGCACTTTCAATGTTCTCCTCCAACACCATAACTCAAAGGTATCAATTCTTCTACGGTCTTCCTTATCCACTGTCCAGCATGCATATGAGGTTATTGAAAATACCATGGGTTGGGTCAGGCGCACCTTAGTCCTCAAGCTGACATCTTTGTTCTTCAACACTTTAAAAAAGGTCTTGTGCTGCAGATTTGCCTAATGTAATACGTTGTTTGATTTCTTGACTGCTGCTTCTGTGAGTGTTGATAGTTGATCCAAGAAGAATGAAGTCATTGACAACGTCAGTCTTTTCTCTGTTGATAAGTCTTTTCTCTGTTTATTGGTCCAGTGGTGAGGATTTTTGTTTTCTTTACATTGAGATGCAATCCATACCGAAGGCTGTGCTCTCTGATCCTTCAGTAAGTACTTTAACTACTCTTTACTTTTTAGCAAGCAAGGTTGTATCATCTGCATATCGCAGATTGTTAATGAGTCTTCTTCCAATCCTGATGCCACGTTTTTCTTCATATCAGCCAGCTTCTCAGATTCTTTGCTCAGCATACAGGTTGAATAAGTATAGTGAAAGAATACAACCTTGTCACACACCTTTCTTAATTTTAAACCATTCAGTGTTCCCATGTTCTGTTGGAACAACTGCTTCTTGGTCCAGGTACAGATTCCTCATGAGCACAATTAAGTGTTCCAGAATACTCATACTTCTTAATGTTGTCCATAGCTTGTTGTGATCCACACAATTGAAAGCCTTTGCGTAGTCAGTAAAGCACAGGTAAACATCTTTCTGATATTCTCTGCTTCTAGCCAAGATCCATCGGACCTCAGCAATGCCTGTTTGCTTTATTACTTACTGTTTTAGTTTCCTCATCTGTAAAATGGGAGAATGTTAATAGTACTGTGTTGTTTTGAGGATTAAATAAGTTATTGTATGTAAATCACTTAAAGTCTAGTGTGCAAAACATTATGTGTGTTAACTTATTAAACAGTGTGCTGGGTAACGGGATATAAAAAGTACCCTCAAAAACCTTATTCTCTAGTTAACTTATTTGATGGGGAAGGAAATAAGTAAAACAAAAAACCCCCGACTTACTCTCTAGCATAGAAAAGCAGAATGATTGCTTTCATTTTTTGGTTGCTCAGGAATGACAGTTTCAACAGTGACAAATAATGCGTCGTGCCTCTAGTCTGAAGGACTGCACAACCCCTATAGGATATATTCTGACCACAGATTTCGAGCTGAAAGAGTTGAAGTTCAAAGATAATGTTCCCACATTAATTGTAATCTAAGTGTCACGCAAACCCCATGGCTTTACGAAACGAATGTAATGGCTCATGAAATATTGTCAGGCTGCCGTGGCTCTGACTGTAACGGATGGTTGCTGTGGGTGCTGGGTTGTGGGGATGTGTCTTGTTGACTTCATCCCACTTTACGTGGCGATGCTTTAGCTAGTTGATTTGTCCCAGAGTCTCTCAGCCCCACTGGCAGTAAATTACCTCTTTCACTTTCAAGCTTGCCATGAGCAAGTGATTTACTACCACCAAGTGAGTACTTTATTTCCAAAAGGAAGCATATTTTTCTCATCATGCTCCATTCATTTTTGAGTGCTTACTTATCATTATAATTACTCACTTTTCAAGTCTATGCCACAGATAACCACCCATAAACATATTCCAGGCTGCAGTTTGCCTAGAATCAAGGATGTATTGGGTTCTACTCTAAATGATGTCCACCTTGTCCTTGGTTCATTCATTCAGCAAGAATTAATTAAGCACCTGGAACTTATAGTTTAAAAGCCTAGATCAAGACTCTTTTTCCCAAACTGGCAGTTTTGTTGCCATAAGAACACACAGTGACCTTAAAGGATCGTCTCTTTCTGTTGTTAAGTACCGTTGAGTCTATTCCGACACATAGTGACCCTGTACAGGGCTTAAACCGCTGACCTTGTGGTTCACAGTCCAGTGCTAATCCTACAACCTCACACCAGGAATCTGTTCACTGCTTCTAGCGAATGAGAATGTGAACTGTTGCTCGGAAACATCAGTGGAATTTTGCCCAGACACCCAGACAAGCTAGTTTTCTGAAAATCACAAATAGTAAGGTGTTCAGGGCAATTCAGCTTTTCCATGGAACCAAATTATCTTTGTAGATGATTGTTTCCTAGACTGTGACCCAGCCCTCACTATTGAATACAGGAGAATAGACCCAAAAGTAATGCTTGTAGGGTTCCAGTTCGTTCATGAATGGGTTTATTTCAAACAGAAACGTGTTTAAACACGTCTCTGCAATCAGTGGGTAGTTACAAACAAGTTCTCTCATTAATACACATGCCAGTCTTGTTAGGGTACCTTCAAGCAAACAAAAAAAAAGGTCCAATTAAAACAGTGACTTTTTTTTTTTTTTTAACAGTGACTTTTGAGGAGATCTGGGTCAGTTAAATTCAAGGGATTCATGATGATCATAGGGGCTTATTATAAAGAAGTTTTAAGAAAAATAAAAACTGCATTGATGAGAAAAAGGCCAGGAGAGTTGTACCAAGGAAATGTTCTTCACAACAGTGTACCTGCTGATTCTTTGAGGCTAGCAAGCACTATCCTCAGAGAATTTCCTTGGGAAACCTTACCCCATCCATCTGACTGCTCTGATCTTGCCCCATCAGATTTCTTTTTGTTCTCCAAACTCAAAGAATATTTGAAAGAACCATAATATGAGCCCCTTGAGGAAAGCAAAACTACTATTTTGATGTGGTATAAATCATAGCACACAGAATTCTTCAGGGAAAGGCTTAGAGAGATGGAGACGCTGCGCTGCCTTCAGGGTGTATGTTGAGAAACAGTAGCTCCATGTTTTGATATTTTTGTTTAATAAAGGTTTCTACGCTTTTGTTAGAAGTACTTTTGGACTTAGTTTGGCTTGTCCTATTCTTTGTTATATGTGTATTTGACTATAATCTCTGAAGATATTTATCTCAGTTCAGTTAGAGAGTTGACGAACGATGCCATCTCAAAACAGGGAGAAAAGTATTTTCTGTGTAGCATTCAGCGTCGGCAACTGGGGATGAATTTAGTAGTGCTGAATCCTTTGATTTCTGTTCAGATGAAATTTCTGCTGGCATGCTTATTACATTTCTGTGCAGTATTAAAGTAATGGCTCTTCAGAGTGCACATAAACTCTTCCTATGTGTACGATACTAAGTAATTAGTTTTTACTTAAATGAGTCTGATACATTACAAGAATCTGTTTTTGAAAGATGTTGGTCATGGCTGTACCTTTTTTTACATTGCCTTAGGAACTAAAGTAAGTGTTCAGGCAGTGCCTTGCAATTAAACAGATGACAATGTGTGGAGAGAATTAGAGAAGTCAAATATTTTAAAACTGGAAATTTGGAAATCCGTTGTAAAATATTTTAAATTAATGAAAGACAAGTAAAGTGGGAGAGAGAAGGGGCACCCGTGGCTCACACAGGAGCATCTGCCGCAGTAATAATACTGTAAGTGGCAGCACAAGCTTACAGACTGGAACTGATCATTAGTCTGGTAATATTTCATCTCCAAGTGGCGTTTGATGCATCTTATTAAACCAGTTTCCATAGCCCCCCCAAAAAACCATGTGGCAATATGCAAATTAATTTGAAAGAGACTGGGACATTTTAATGAGATACTGAAAGCATGAGCCTCTGCAGTATCATTAATGTTATCCTGCCAGGCTTCTGGAAGCCGTTGAAATTAAAGCTCAGAACAAATTAGTTTTTCCCAGGGCCAGCAATGAAATTTAAAAATCATCTTTAAACATAGTAAACATTTTGATCATCTGCTTTATAAAAAGAGAAGTTGAAAATACCAGCCTGGTTTCCTGGTTCTATCTGAACGCTACCAAGCTTACTTGTGTTTATTTATTAACATTCAGCATTTGAAAACCCAAACTATCTCTTCTCTGTTTAAATATCCCCCCTTTCTTTTCTTTGGAATCTGGGCAGGACCTGCTTACACTGGGCCTGTAAACGCAATCACGGCCAAGTGGTTTCTTACCTGTTGCAATCAGGAGCCGACAAAGAGATTCTTACCACAAAAGGAGAAATGCCAGCCCAGTTGACATCAAGGAGAGAAATCCTGAAGATCATGGGAGGTGAGCCTGTATTTTCAGGACAACTTTTGATTTTTGTCAAACTGATTTGAAGATTTTGTGGTATTATTAGCTGCATTTTGATGCCTGTCAAGCAACTGGCCTATTTCTAAGGACTAATAATTACTGTGCCAACCTAGTAATTTCATTGTTGTTTCTTGAAAGGTTGGCATCATAAAGTTTGATTAAAAAATAATAATCTGTAACATGTAAAATAGTACTAAAAATGGTAATCATAAACTCAGTGAATATTCTCTTCTCCTCTGACCTGGGGAAGCTATAAAACACAGACGAATTTGTCCCATACCAAAGGACAAGAGTATCTATAAGACACACTTGTTTCTTCTCACATTTGAAAGGGGTGTGTAAATGTTCTGCATTTGCTTCTTTTTAAGTGGAAGATGACGATGAGGATGAGGACAGCCTCCACCCGCTGAAGAAAGAGTCAGAACTGCCCTTTGTTCCCAACTATTTGGCCAACCCAGCCTTCCCTTTTATATACACCATGGAAGCAGAGGATTCAGGCCAGCTGCAGAATGGGGGCCCCTCCACACCTCCTATGTCACCACCTGCAGATGGCACGCCCCCATTGCTCTCTGCTGGGGAACCGCCCCTGTTAGGGAACTTTCCGAGGGACCACACGTCTTTGGCACTGGTTCAGAATGGTGATGTATCTGCCTCTTCTGCCATACTCAGAACACCAGAAAGCACAAAACCGGGTCCTGTTTGTCAGCCACCCATGAATCAGAGCCGTTCCCTGTTCTCTTCTGTCCCGGCCAAGCCACCCGTGTCTCTGGAGCCTCAAAATGGGACGTATGCAGGACCAGCGCCAGCATTGCAGCCATTTTTCTTCACTGGAACATTTCCATTTAATGTGCAAGGTAACCCCTCAGCGGCAGCAAACTGCTTCTGTACTGGCCGAGAGTGGCCGAAGGGCCAGTGCTTCCCGGGTGTATTCTGATGTGGGATGTGTGTGTATAATTTATATATATATGTTGTTGTTAAGTGTTGTCTAGTTGGTTCTGACTCAGCTACCCTGTATAAGGTTTCTGAGGCTATAAATCTTTGCAGGAGCAGAAAGCCTTTATCTTTCTCTCATAGAATGGTTGGTGGGCTCGATCCACTGACCTTGCGATTCACTATCTAATGCTTATTGTAGAGAGCCTCTATGCATATAGTAAGCCCTTGTATAGCAGTATAGGGTAAACAGCTAACAGTTCAAAATCTACCAGTTGGTCTCAGAAACCCTATACAGGGTTGCTATGAGTTGGAAATGACTCGTATGTATGGAACTCTGGTAGCATAGTGGTTACGAGTTGGGCCGCCAACCTCAAGGTCAGCAGTTCAAAACTACCAGCGGTTCTGCGGGAGAAAGATGAGGCATTCTGTTCCCATAAAGATTTACAGCCTCAGAAACCCTGTACAGGGTCGCTATGAGTCAGAACCGACTCCACGGCACATAACAACAACAACATGTATGTATGTATGGTATGGCACTCTAGGATAATGCACTGGACTGCAAGATTGGTTTCACCCACAAGGTGGTGGCTCAACTTCGCCAGCCTCTCCTTGGAAACCCTATACAGGATCATTATAAGTTGAAACTGACTCGACCGCACTTAACAACAACAACGTCTGCATAATTCAATCTTACAGAAATAATGAGGGTAGTATCAGGCACTCCCTTTATGCACATTCATCAAGTGTTTCCTATGAACATAGAGCCATTGTGCTTGCTAAGTGCTGTTGAGTTCGTTCTGACTCTTAGTGACCCTGTCTAGGGTTTCCGAGGAGTGGCTGGTGGGTTTGAACCACTGACCTTGTGGTTCAAGTTGACCTTACAGTCCAGTGCTTATCCTACAGCGCCATACCAGAACTCCTCACATAGCCATAGACGTGGTGGTGGTGGTGTGCCGTGGGCTCGAGTCCAACTCAGAACAACACTGTATAGGCTTTCCCAGGTGGTGCGCCTCCTTGGGGTTAGCAGTCCAACACATAACCCACTGTGCTGCCAAGGCTCTTTTTTTTAGTTTTTTTTTTGTGAATTGAGGGAAAGTTTACAGGGCAGACCATCAATTTTACATTCAACAAATCATGCACCTTGTTTCATTACAATGATTATAATCCCCTCCATGTACCATCAATTAACAACATTTCTCTCTATCCACTATAGCTCTTTTTTTTCTTTTCAACACTCAGGCATATAAAATGATTTATACCACCAAAGGGCACATTCTGTAAGTCCTGGCTGCCAGCTCTCAGTCCCTCTCTTCCCATGAATCTAGAGTCCCCATCTGCTCCCTCTCTTTCCATGTGCCCGTTTCTGCCTCCATCTCTGGTGTCATTGCTTCTCTGGATAAGGTCCTGCATTCTGCTCGTACTCTTCTCCCTCGATGGTCCTAGGGTCCTCAGTTTCTGGACTGTAAGATTAATTACTCCCTGTTTTGTTACAAAACTTCTACCTTTACGATTGTGACAGTCACAATTAGTCATGATAACAAGTACTCACTATTGAATCATAAAAATCTTACCCCCATCTTTTTTTTACCAGACCCATCTAGACAAGATGAAAACTATTCAGTGGGGACTCTATCTTCCCCCTCACACTCTTAAACTAAACTTGCTCTTGAAACCTTCTAAGCCAGTCGCTTTGTGCCTTTATCGGCCCCTCATTTTAGGTAGCCAATGTCTAAGTTGCCCATCCCTTTCTACCTGGTACACAGAGAGGATAGCATAGATACTTGCTGTGACGACTCCTTCCCTCTCTGTTGGTATTTAGAGCTATTACTTCTGTGGGTATAGGTCAAGTTCATCCAATTGTAACAGTTTACCCTCGTTTCCTTTATCAAAAATTATTGTTATTTTTTATTTTTTATTTTCCTCTAGTCGAGTTCTGATTATCAAGCCATCGAGACTAGGTCAAATGGGTACTGTCTGCAAGTTTGGGTGTTCTTGTGCGTCTCCTTCACTTCATATCAGCTGGATGCTTCACTCTCAGCTCTAGCCCTCTGTGGCTATGTCCTTGTCCATGGGCTCAGGTGTCCCCAGGTCTCACCACACTTTGGAGCAACCAGCCCTTTCTCTTCTCTCTCTCATTTCCAGGTCAAGGGGAGTCTATGGAACTTGGTTGAACTCAGCCCATTTCTTCATTGCTGCCTTTCCCCCTCTTCCACTCACCAGTAGACCAGTGTGGTCGCCAGCAAGCTTACATGCCTGCTCATGTGTTCCCTTTGAGTTTCCATCTTAGAGGGGGGTTTGCCCTGAGGGAACTTGATTGCTTGCCTTGATGGCTTCCTGGTGAACAACATACTTATTCTTGTAGTAGCCAGTCATACTGCCATTTTTGTTTCGGGTTTTTCCTGATGATCTTTCTTTGGAGATGTATCTTCTGTGCTCAAGCTGTTCCAGGTTGATCTGCTTGTCCTTTCTAGTGGGAATGTCCCACCTCAAAAGGTTCTGGATGGGACTCAGGATTCCACCTGAGGGCCTATACACTGCAAAGGTTCGGCAAGAGGCCTATTTCGATTTCACTGGGCAAGTCATAGAACCCCTTTTAGGTATTCCACTAGGGCTCTTTCTATATAGCCATGTTGTTGTTAAGTGCCGTTGCGTCGGTTCCGACTCACAGCAGCCCTGTATAGGGTTTCTGAGGAGTGGCTGGTGAGTTTGAACTGCAGACCTTGCTGTTCAAACCGACCTTAAGTTGGAATGCTTATCCTATGGCACCACATATAGCACGCCTTTAATCTGGAACATATCCTTAACCTTTCTGTATTATTTTTTACCTTGATATATATATTTTTTAAATGTTTTATTGTGAATTATGTGATAGTTTACATGGCAGAACATTAGCTTTACATTCATCCTATCGTATGTGACCTTGATATTTTTGAAGAGTCCAGGAGCGTGGTGGCTCCATACCATAAGCACTGGGATGTGGTTTGTGCCTGCCAGCTGCTCTGTGAGTGAAAAAATAAGAATTTCTGCTCCCATTTATATAAGGTCACTCTGAGTTAGAACCTACTCAACAGTACTTAACAACAGGCCAGTTATTTTATAGAATAGTATTTCCTATCATTTCTCATTTCTCCTTTATTTATTAGTTGATCGCTATGGGTCAGAATCAACTTGACGGCACTTAACAACAACAACAAATTCTACTATAAAGAAGAGGTTTCCTTTTCCCCTCATGTCAATATGGACTCGGGAATTCTCTATCCATCAGGCTTTAAGTCCTATTGCTATTCTGATGCTCAGATGATCTCAGATTTGGCCAGTGGGAACCCCTTCAAGCTGGTTCTTGTGGCTCTTGAACATGTCTCCATCATCCCATCTTTGCTGGTTCAATGGGATCCTCCAGGCCTATAGTGTGACTCTCGCGGCCCCTGCCCTCGGATCAGCCGTTTCTCCAAGGGGGCCCTGGTTCTTCTCAGTGGTGAGAGGTCATCAGAAACCAAGGTCCGGGCGCTAGGCGTGCTGCTGTCACAGGTAGACCACCTCTCCGAGGACAGAGTCAGGAAATAAAGAAATATGGAAGCCAACAAACAATCACACAAACACATTTGTGTGTTTATATATAAACATATATGTATTTCTGCATCTGTTTAATTATATATACTTAAAAACATGAATTCATCCTGATACCTCCAATTCCATACCAATACCACAGGCTACAATCTAGTCTTAATCTTTCCCTTTTTGATAGAACTAACTCTTACTTTCTAGATTAACAATGGACTGCGAACCCCAGGGTCGACATTTGCCCACCAGCTGCTCCACAGGAGAAATATGAGGCTTTCTGCTCCTGCAGAGATTTACAGCTTTGGAAACCCTATACAGGGTCACTGTGAGTTGGTATGAACTTGATGGCTTCATATGTAAGGATCAGAATTGCCAAATGCACACAGATTCCTGGCTTGGGCCATCTTCGCAGCCAGGCTCAGAATACAAGGGCAGACTGCTTAGGGCCCAGACCAAGCCTCTCCCTTATTGAGGTCTTTTGTGTTTTAATCAGGTTGTTAAGTGCCAAGTTGGTGCCAACTCATAGCAACCCTGTATAGGGTTTCCAAGGCTGTAAATCTGCGAGAGCAGAATGCCTCGTTTTTCTTCTGTGGAGTCGCTGGTGGGTTCAAATTGTCTACCTTGTGGTTCACAGTCCTGTGCTTATCCTTTAGAGCCCCCATGATTCCAATATGAATTGCTAAGTGCTGTTCCATAGTGACTCTGTAAAGGGTTTCCAAGGAGTAACTGGTGGGTTTGAACCACCAACCTTGTGGTTACCAGTACAGTGCTTCTCCTACAGCACCATACCAGGATAGACTTAAATTTGTATCATTCGCTTGTTTACTTTTTTAAATTGAGTTTATTGCAGAGTTTAATGTTTCATAAGTACCTCTAGATCTCCAGTGATTCTGTCTAAGAGTAACTCATGCACCAAATCTTGCCCTTGCCTTTCCAGCCCTTTTCTCCTTCCCTTGTGTATGGGGAGTTTAAACTCAGACCCATTCTGGAGGCTTTGCTCATTAACTCCAGAGCAGATGTAAATGATCTTTTTATACAACTGGAACAGCTCCACTCCACCTTTTTATTTGGGTACCACAGCCTTAGCTTTTGGGACTGTCATGAAGGAAACTGTCCCAGCAGACCCAGAATCAGGGTTAAGCAAACCCTGCTGACTGCATGTTTGCTCACTGGGTAGCTCAGGGCTTTATGTGGGGCAGGACTAAGTGTTTCCATCTTCTGGAAAAGATCTTGAGTTGCATGGAATGTCCAGAACCATTCATTGACATTCTCCCTCTTTTTCTAGAGCTGGTCCTCAAGGTGAGAATTCAGAACCCATCTCTTCGAGAAAATGATTTCATTGAGATTGAACTGGACCGACAGGAGCTCACCTACCAAGAGTTGCTCAGAGTGAGTTGCTGTGAGCTGGGTGTTAACCCAGATCAAGTGGAGAAGATCCGAAAGTTACCCAATACTCTGCTAAGAAAGGTAAGGAAGTCTATTAGGCATGCATGGTTGCTTTGTGCATTTGGAAAAATGCCAACTTCCTCCATGGTTATATGAGCCCCAGTTGAAGAAATTAAAAGAGAATAGAAAAGGAGCAAAGGATGGTTTACTAAATAGAATCAAATTTCTTGCTCTCGGCTGGACCTAAAGAGACGCTGGCACTGTGAGAACCTTAGAATACAGAGGGGATTTGGTGAGTGACCCTTCATTTGTACCCGCTTCAGAGGCTTTACTTGTACTAAGTCTCACTTTGTTGTTGTTGTTGTTAAAGTGCCGTCAAGTCGGTTCCAACCCATAGCGATCCTGTACAGGGTTTCCAAGGAGCGGCTGGTGAGCTTGAACTGCTGACCTTGCAGTTCAATTGACTTTGCAGTCTGGCGGATTAACCCACAGCACCACAGTACACTATGAAATGGGCCTTGTTTTACAAGAACAGAACCAAGTCAAATCTTAGGTATCTCTACAGAGACACACGTGCAGTGCACCCAGCCTATTAGGCTCCTGGCTTTCCTGGGCACCCAAGGACAAGTGGCTCATGCATTCCCTCTCCTTTCAACACCTCTTTATCTGGTAGCAGCTGCTGCTGCGGATTTCACATGCCAACCCAACTCAATTCTGCACAATTGCTGATGTATCCCTGCCATAGGGATTTTTGGTTCATCTAGGATTTTTAAATGAGCCAATATTCATATCAGCATTGTTGTTGTTAAGCCATCAAATTGGTTCCAACTCATAGCGACCCTATATAGGGTTTCTAAAGAGCAGCTGGTAGGTTTGAACTGCCGACCTTGTGGTTCGCAGTCTGGTGCTGATCCTGCAGCACTACACCAGGAGTCTGATATCAGCATAGCACACCAAGCGTGTGGCCTCAAATGTCTCCTGTAAATCATTTTGACGTTTGTTTTAGGACAAGGATGTTGCCCGACTGCAGGATTTCCAAGAGCTGGAGCTGGTTCTGCTGATAAGTGACAGGGATTTCCTCTTCCGAAATGCTGCTTCCACACTGCCTGAAAGGCCGTGCTACAACAGGCGTGCTTCCAAACTGACTTACTGAGGCGGCACGGACTTGTTACTGAGGATGCTGACGGTGTGTCACCCTTGGGCCAAGGACAAGCCATTGATGTAAATCAAGGCTAGTGTTCTACATTTCTGCCTCAGATGCCTGGGCAGTTCCTGGTAGCACTGTGTGGTGTATGCTGACACCGTCTGCCAAGGTAGGAAGCCCTGAACCCCAGCAGTGGTGCCACTCCTCCAAGCCTCTTGGTGCACAATAAACCTATCGCGGGAAGCTCTGAACAGCCGAGAAGTGGTCTGGAGAGGCAGACGCCGCCAGAGGTGTCTATGTCCTATGGCTTTATTGTAGAATGTGAGCGTTGTCTCAGCAGAAGATGAGCGTGGAGCCTATCTCGAGCCTCTCCTGTTGACAGTGCACTTGAAGGACTGGGAGGCACTGTTTGTGGTGGTGCATGCTTACAACGCCTAAAATGTGAACTAACCGGGGACAACTGGGTACTAGACAAAGGAATTTTCGTGTGACTTGTAGCTGTGAGGTTTCATATAACATTCATAAACGTTACTCAGGTTAAAAGTATTTAAGAATACACTTACTTAATTGTAAATATGCTGTTAACCAAAAGAAACCTCCCCTCCCCCGCCCGCGTTTCCCTCTGTAACACTCAGCTTGTCTCTAGTCGGCCATGCCTGGGCGGCTCTGCATTAGTTCCCCTTCATGGTCACTAGAGGGCGCTCGGATGCTTCCTAACAGAACAGCCCCGTTCCCCTCTGGAGCGCTGCCTCCATCTACATGTTGAATGGCACCAGACAAGAAGAGCACAAACATTACCAGGCCCTGTTCTCCACTTTCATTTATCACGAGGAGTGAAATGTAGTTTTTGAGACTAAATCTGTTGCTGTTTTAAAGGTTATTGTGGGGAACTGAGCTCCAGGAGTTAGCATCTTTATTTTTGTATTAAAGATAAAGGTTATTTTGAAATTATTAGGATTTTTACACAATTCTGAAATCTATTGCTTTTGTAAATCAATTGTTTGATCACCCCCACTCCCTGCCACCAATCTACTTAACACGGTCCATTGTGAGTCTACCAGGCTTTGTTCTGAAGTAAATGGGAAAAAACAAAACACAGCTCGTGAGCATGCCATAGAATTTCTTTAAGAATGCATTCAAGGATTCTTATCTTTTTCTTCGGTGTCATTGATGTTCAAAGAAAAGCCACTGTCTTGTTGAAGCCAACAGTTGACCTTTAGAATTAAGGACTAGCACACTTGGACACAGTGACGAGCAGGGGCTGGGAAGCTACTGTTGTGGAGGGTCCCTGCCGTCTTCAGCAGCTTTTCCCCATAGTGCCTATAGGTTCCAAAGAAACGGAACTTCTTAGCTGTGTCAGCTTCATTTTATTAGAACATTACAGCCGAGTGGGGACGTGCAGTGGAAGGGAGTGTGTGCTAAGAGACAACCTCCTGCTGCTGCCAGCCTGCTTCTCAGAGTCTGTTACTGATACTGATGTGACTTCCTCACCCTCCGGGGCTCTATGGGTAATGTAGTGAAAGGGACTGATTACCCTTTCCCCTCTAAGTTCTCTAAGAAAGAAAGTTCCTTTATGTCTCAGCCAATAAGAAGTCAACTGATCAAGAGGTACTGGTGGTGGGTTTTGTTTTTTTGGCCTTTACTTTGATAAAAATTACTGATAGAATTCTGGCTGGTTCTATCCTGGGGAAATAAATAAATTCAGTATTCATTCATATCTACGTTTCTGGGGTGAAAACTCTATCCAGATTAAACAGAAACTATCAGAAACAGTTGAAGCCCCTGGCTAGCAGGTAGCCTACAGAGGGGTAGTCTGGGTCCTACTAGGGCATCTCCCAGGCTTAGAAATAGGCCAGCAAGGGTGTTGGTGTCTCAGGTGGGAGACAGACCCTACACTGGCTTCTTCTCCTTTATGAAGTCCTATTGTCAGCAGATGCCTGCATGCGGCAGTGGGTAAGACTGCACATTGTTGGTAGGTGAGTCTGAAGTCTTAATCTATGCATTCAGAGAAATATTTTTATATGCTTTGTGTAATTTATAACAAGGATTTTTTTTTAGCTTTGTTAAGTGTGAATTCCCCCCTCCTCCTCCACTGCATATTTAAAGCATGTGTTCACACTGTGTGTAAACATTCACCGAAGATTTTTTCCTTTATGCATTGCTAACTACGCAAATATAACAAGTGTTATTAAAATTAAATATCAACTGACCGAGCCTGTATTCTTTCATTTGGTAACCGAGAGGTCCCCAGTTCAAACCTACCCGCTGCTCCTTGGAAGCCCTGTACAGGGTCATTCTGAGTCAAAACTGACTCCACAGCAGTTACCAGCAACCGAACCACACCTGACTGCTAGCTGGAGGGGACTCAAAAGGGATAGGAGCTCTGAGGAAGCCGTTCTCCACCAGAGCCGCCTCTGTGCCACCTAGAGGTGGACATTTGGTATGGTGTCTTCCTCCTAGTTCACAGCAGTCAGCTTCATTTCCCCCTAGAAGTTAAGCCAGCTAGATGGAGGTCACCCCGTTAATCACATTTTTGATTATCCTATTTTCTTTACACAGCAGAGCCTCTCCTGTGGGCTGTCAGCCCCTGACAGGGCTGCAATGAGCATGGAAGCAAATTCCCAAGACAGGAGAGGAAGCCAGCCTTCTACCTTCCGATCTTTAGCAGAGAATGATGCCAAAGGAGCCCGTGTTCCTGTCGGGTTAGGGCAGTTGGCGTGCCAAAGTGGCCTAATCAATCAGCATAGCAGAGACCTTTTCTTAGCACCGAGGAAAGGCAGCATAATTTGGGCTTTTGTGCTTTCATCCTTGCTTTATTATAAGGACGGAAGTCTCCTTCCACATACTCAGAAGCATCCTGGGTAGAAACCGCCTGCCCCCTCCAAGAAAAGAAAAATGAGATTAACCTTTAACAAATGGTCCTGAAGCACAGGCTGACCCAGAGCATATTGAAAACCCGATCAAAGAAGCAATCTCCACACCTACTGTTTATAGGTGGGGGAAAACCACCTACAAACATGCACCAGAGGCATGGGAAATGAGAAAGCAAGACCAGGGGATGTAGTGAGGCAACCAAGGAAAGAGTCATTCCAAATCTAAGGCCTGCTGCCAGGCAAACTCTGACCTGCAGAAAGAACTCTTCGTTGGCACATTTCGTTCATTTCCTTGATTCTTCCTGACCAGGGTGTCTGCTGGGGCTCCCTCTGAACTCCTCCCTCTCACATACTTAGATTCAACTGCGCTAAGGAAGAGGGATAACTAGGCGGCTGCAGTTATGGGGACCTGTCTGAACAGACTTCCAAGGGAGCCAAGCAGTAGAGCACACAAACTGCTCAGGGTGTTCATAATAGCTTTCCCAGGAGGCTGCGGGCCAGACTTCAGGGCTGTATTTCTCAACCTTTCTATATGATCTATGGAACAGAGCAGGAACCAAGGGTGATTGCCCAGTGAGTTTTGGTTGTGAACTACACCAGAAGATTTTGGGGCCCAAGTCTTCAGGTAGCTGCAGTCATGTGGCTGGATGTAAAGCCCACCTCCTCTCTACCTGCCCCCAGACCTTGTGTGCAGGCAAAGTCAGGCAACATGGGGGTGTAG